ATATAGAAATAAATATTAATAATTAGTTTTGTTTGTATTGTTTCAGAAATTGTTGGGGAGGTGCAGTTAAAAAGATATGGTAAATTTCTTGAGGACTTTGCCACTCAGTTAAAAGATATAGAAGATGTTATTGATAACTCTATAGGAGATGCCTGGGATTTCACATTGGATCCTATCAAATTACAAGTAAGTGACTAAGTCTCTGGTTTTCTTTGTTTCCTGGTTTTACATTGCCAGCTAAGTTGCTGTATGGTTTGTTATGCGCGTCTTGAGATCGTTACATGATTAGAACTGGTTAGTTCAACCCACTTTTACATTCAGCTAAAATGAAATGCACTAGACACACTATCGCTTGTGTCCAGACATTTTATACTGTGTAAATGCTAATTCATAACTTTGCCATTTATTACATGTATATAGAAATGTATAAGATTGAAAAAAATATATTAATAAAGCAACTAACCAGTTCTAATCATGTAACTATCTCGAGGCGTGTATAACAAACCAATCAGCAACTTAGCTGACAATGTTGATGTTTTGGTGTTCGGAACAATATGACGATGACAGTAAAAAAGGGCTTGGACTGGCTTGTTAGTGATTTTTAATGAAATGAATGTAAAATATAGGGAGAAAAGGTATTTTTACTAGATTTTATTTTCATCCAAGTAAAAACAAAGTACTTTACAGTTGATGATTCTCTACTTACAATGTCTTGAGTCTTATCTCATATAATATTGTGAAATAATATTTTTTTATTACTTTTACAACAGTAGTAAAATGTCTTAATGAAACATCTCCTACATTAGAAACAAAATATGTCTACTGTTAAATTTATTATAGTCTAATATATGTATTTCTGTTTACTTTTTAGTTTTTACCTTATGAACAAACATCTTTGCTTGATTTGATTAAGACAGACAACAAGGTAATTCATGTTAACCTGTTCATCTATTATGATTCATATTCACAGGATCTATTGGCATGCAAATGTCACTCTCAACTGTTTCTTTGAGTCAGTGCTTTGGTTGCCGCAACAACAATTCCTTCACCTCTGTGTGGCTGTTCGCGCACCTGTCAGTGTGTACCTGTATCTAGCCTAAGCCCTGTAATTCATGAAACAAAGTTTGTAGTAGTTTTTGTAATTGTTCATATGAAAGCAAACTTCAATGCCATCTACAGTAGAAATAAAATAAAACAATGACATGGTTAGTGTAAAAAATTAATTATGTTTAATCTTCTGCTTCTCATTCATAAAATAAAAGTGATGTGTAAGTATAATTATGTTTTCAGGTTTTCAATAAAGTTATAACAGTGTTGGCATCATTATGTTGTGAAACTGATCAACTCAAATATGAAGTAAGTAACATTTCATGTTCACTTATAACTAGTTCATATAACTGGTTTAGTGTGTTTCAATTCTCAAAAAAAAATTTCCTGAATAAACTAAAAGTTTTATGTCTTATATTAATGTGAGACAATGTTGGATCAGCTGTGTGGGTACTAGAATACTTATACCTGTATTACATTGGTAATCTTTGTTACAGTGTCAACCTAATTAATTTGTATGATATCCTTCACTTACAATAACAATGTTTCTGTTATTTTATATTTAGGCAAAGAATAAGTTTTATCATGGCCTTTTGTTATATGGAGAAGGGGGTAAGTTGATAACTTGATCTGTCTTGTTTTTTGTTTACTATCGTTTCAGTCATTCTTTGAACGATTATGTTCAACTAAATATTGCTTCACTACAGCAAGTTATTATCAACATTGTCGGTAAATGTACAGCAATTGCTTCCAATGTTGTTGAAGTTGTTTTGCTACAATCAAGTTTGTTTTGATACATTCGCGACAGACCCGCTCCACTGTCCAATCACGCACTCATTGACTGTGACTATCACATTCACAGTCGTCATGTTACAGAGTAAACAGGGATTCCCGACTCCACCTGCGATTCGCGAAAAGATAGTTGAGCTGTATTTAGAAGGAATATCCTTTGCTGACATAGCGAAAAGGAGTGGTGTGACGAAATCTACTGCGTATAATATATGCAAAAAATTCACCTCAACTGGTGCTATTGAACATGATATTGGCGGTCCACAGCAATGCTCGAAACTTAATGATAACGTGTTACAGCACATCGAATTACACAAGTATTTAGAAGAAATTTAATTGCCGAAAATGTGTGTACTATCGATACTGTCTCGTGCTTGTCGACTATTCATTGTGCTATTACTAAATATTTGGGAGTGAGCCGAAAGAAATTGACCAGTGTTGCCGCCGAGTGTAGGACGGAACGCAACAAAGAGTGGACTCTGGATTTCATAGATATTGTTACCAACTATGATGTCGAACAACTACATTTTGATGAATCATCCTTTATTAAAACTACTGGAAATCACGTGTACGGTCACGCTGAAAAAGGAAAAGCTGCTGTAGAATCCAGAGACACGCTACCAACGCAAATTACACTGTAAATTTACTAGTTAGCTCATTCGGGATCTACAACGTCAACATTATTGATGGTCCATCAAATGGCTTGGAAATTGTTAATTTCTTTGAAGAAGTCGTGAGGACCGTGGACGCTTTTGGAAATCCGGTTTTATCTCAAGGGGATTGCGTCATTTTAGACAACTGCGGATTCCATCATGGTCGTCAAGTTGAGCCAGTTCTTCAAGAGTTGTTATGTGGACAGGGAGTTGAACTTTTGTTTCAACCACCCTATAGTCCTCAATTCAATGTATGTGAACTTTGTTTTCGTTATTTAAAGATATATCTGAAAGATAACGAGGAGTACATATACAATTTCACTGAACTAGCCATTGCAGATGCTCTCACTCGGATTGGACCGGGCGTATGTCGGTGGTTTGCTTTCGACTGTGGCTATCTAATTTGTGTATATTTAATTTTTAACTTTTGCCTTGTCTCTGAGACATTAACCAAACGACCCTTTTCAGGGCCACCACATCCTTCGAAAGAGAATACCATAGTGTATGTGTCTGAATATGTCTATAAACTGGAAATGTGTGCATATATAAACAAAACATTTATTTTGTAATGTAAATTACTCTAAATTACCTCTGATACATAGCAAAGTATGACATCAAATAAAGATGAATCGGTAAAACGAATAATGATGACATGTGGAAAAGTGTATATTAATATAAACTAATAAAATGTTTTATTCCTGTCACCGAAAATACCCGGATCGCCAGTAGATATTGGTATATGTTCAGAGGCAGGCTGTGTCATTGGAGTAGATACGAGTACCGGAAGTTGTAAGTTGCCGATATCACCATAACCTGGTTGTTGGAATGATGAGGCCCAGATTAATTTCCTGTATATAACTGCCAATGCTGCGGAGGCATCATCATATGTGGATATGCTGGGGACATGTATTGATAGTTGGTCCCTGCTTCTAATAGTCGGTTGTGAGTACCAGGAAATAGCGGCCCTGTGTTGACCGATGTATGCGGTAATTGTGGCTTGACAAGAGCGTCCTGTGCTGAACTTTGTGTTGATGGTGATTCGTGTATTGGCGATGTTTTTTTTAACAAATTTATCAATATCTTCATCGTTGGATTTGTCACTTGACTGGTGATATACGGCTGTTTTTCCTCGTGCTAATTGCAATAGTCTAGGAAACTCTACGGAGTCGTTTTCCACAGGTGGTACTTTGCCGTCCAGGGCAATTTTCAGTAATCGGACGTCCTTCATAAGCTTACTCTGCCCAAGCGGTCCAACATATTTTCCTGGATAAACTTGTTTCAATCTCAGCTTAACTACCCGCAAGAACTGTGTTAAGTTTTTTTCAATAAATGTTATGCAACTCAGTCTCCAATTCTTTTATTCTTTTTTTCAGTCTTTTTATGTCCTTTTCTTTCTATGGATAAGAACAAATGTACTACCGTTAAAATGTCATAAATAATGAGACACATACACAGTCATTTGACGCCTGAAATTTTATGGGTAAAACAGTGGGTGAACATGTAATAAATGACCCCGCTCTCTGACAATAATATCACAAAGATAAATACACACCAAACTGGCTTATAGCGGTATCACAGTTAATAGAAAAACCCAAACTAGAATTAGAAAATTAAATCAGCAACATTACAAAGTGACAAATACTCACCTGCCTTATTACTTCGACGTGATCATGATGCTTTTCCAACTTCCCACAATACATGTACCCTGGTCATTTTTCGAACAAACACTCAGTCTTGTTTTTATTCCCGCTCTCTTTGTGACACCGCTTGTATGTGGTCGAGATTGGGTGTAGGCCAGGAAGAGCCAATACAGCCAATGGCGATGGGGGAGTTTTTAGATCGATCAATTGCCATTCCATGCTTATTTTGGAAGCAGTAAGTTCATCTATTTGTTCATGTAGCATACCACGGCGATAATCCATTGACGATGTCTGGTCTACTCGTGTTTGGTGTTTTTTGTCTGAGTCCATAGCGGATCTAGCAACCGCGTATGTGTGCAAGTGAAAGTCTAGTTTCATTCGCTTTGATTTTTTAACGGCTTCAGTAGATAAGCCGGCAGTCGGTTCACACGGTTGGTTTCATCATTTATTATGCCTCCTGGTGTAGTTGAACAAAGATTGTTGATGACCAACTGTTTGAATCGATGGTTTGTTTTCTTCATCCATAATTTGAACACATAGTGCGTTCATTCGCCGTGAAAATGGTCTCTCGCTAGTGAGGCGGTCGATAAAACTATTGTAATCAAAGTCATCACTATGAAACTCAGCTTGTGATATATATATTGGTATAATTCTTGTATCCTGATAATAAACAAACTCTACTTTGATTAAGTATTCCGCCATGACTGTCGATCCGATCAGGTCCGAGTTGAAATGCGTTGTTGGTCCAATTACGGAGACTAGAAGTATGGGTGCCTCACAAATGTATCAAAACAAACTTTACTGTAGCAAAACAACTTCAACAACATTGGAAGCAATTGCTGTATATTTACCAACAATGTTGATAATAACTTGCTGTAGTGTAGCAATATTTAGTTAAACATAATCGTTCAAAGAATGAGTAATTCTGGCACAGAATAGCAAATTAGACATACCATATTTATTCTAATTAAGGTGCCACTCTAATTATGGCATCAGGAGGGAGTGAAAGCCCTTCATTTGCTTTTTAAGATAGGCGTCTCAAACTGTTGACATTTTATGGTAAAACAATTTTTTTTTTTATTTGTGTTGGTCTGTGAATGGAAATGGTTATCGAATAATAGTATCATAAAAATGTTTTTGAATTGTCTAGTTGCTTCATTTTTCATGGCTTCAGTACTCAACATAGAAGTGTATATATATTTGATCACCATTCGTTGACAATGTTTTGCTGAAACATCAAATAGGATTTAAAATCAGGGGTACCAGAACTTTGAAATAATGACTTTGTGATTTCCTTTCCTTTGTGAAAAAATGCATACACTAGAGGTTCATAAATCCAAACTAGTTTGCATTCCCCTAGTTCCTTCTTTGGAATGAAGAATATTATTTCATCAATTCCTGTCCTGTACATTTAGCTGCAATGCTGTGATATAGAGGTATCGTTCACTTATATTTGTCTGATTGGAGTTTGTTTAATAAATTATTTGTAAAAATCCATTTTTATGTTTTCAGTCAAATTTACAGATGTTGGGGACAGTCAAGAAGAAGGTGAGGCTCAGATACAGATTGGCAGAATGCTTCCTTTGTTACAAGTAAGCACCTGAAATTCTCTTTTAGAATGTCCTATGACCCCGTCTGCATGTTTTCTATTCCACTGATTTTGATTAAACTTGGTGTATACGTTTCCAAAAATATTCTATATTCCTGATTGGTAGTTTACATTATTTAGCCAATTTTAGTTATTTTGTAGTTATCTCGTAGGTGCACTTGGATAACTCCACATTCACGATTAATTTTGGTTTGAAATCTGTGCATAATGAATATCTAATTTACATAATTATTTGCCATTTTTAAGCTTCTACATTGATATCTCATGTATGACTCAAGATTTAAATAAAACTTGGTGCAGTGATTTAGGATGAACAAAATAAATTAAATTTATTTCTTTTTGTTTTAATTAATTTAATTTTATCAATTCTCAATCAGATTGCTAATAGACTTCTTGTTTAATTAGCTATACTTACATTTGTAATTAATTTTAAATATTTCTATAATATTTATACTTCATGCTTTCAATACCCAGAGCTCAAGGAAGCTCTTTGTAAGCTTTATTTATTTGAAAACAGCTAAAAACATTCTGTGCATCTATTATTGTTTTAATAAACACCATGTGATTCATGAAGACCAATCAGAAAACAGAACAGAAAAAAAATAGAATGTTGACATGTGCAGTTCTAATGATAGCATTATATTAGTGACAGTAGTGTTTAAAAATTACGATTAAAACTGAGCATATTTCAAATTTAAAAGTCTTGGCATTTTATATTATGTTTCTCAATATAGGACTTGTCGTCATTTGTGTCACGGTGTTATGAAGTTGTAAGGAACATTATTCATCAAATGGCCTCTCTCTACAGTAGGTAAGTCTGTAACTACATGTATCTATATAGTACAGTGACATATTTTATCATCTGTTGTATGTACCCCCAGTACTCTTGCATCATGTATAGAAGATAGAACATTACCGATTTATGCTATGATAAACACCTCATCTGACACCACTGTCCTGGATGCATCCAATTTATTTCCCTACACACAAAAGGGTTTTTTGTCAATTTCTCGATAATATTTCATATCATTGAAGATTTAATTTGAATTGATGATTCAACCAAATACATAGCTTGAACATTGACATTTCTAATTTGGTTTGACTTGTATTAAATAAAGTTGATTTTTAATTCAAATTAGTTCAGACTAATGGATAACAAATTTTACTACTCCAAGGACCGGTGCAATTGTAAACTATTTGTTAGGCCCTGAACCTGAGTGGTCATATAATTTTGTTTCTCTTTTATCGTAACATGACTAACAAAACAGTATGAATATTATTCTATGCATTTTTTAAAAACAGAGATGGAAGTCCTATCATTGATGTTTCCCAAGTTCATTTCCAGGTCAGTCATTTAGTTGTTATTCACTCAGTTATTCATAGATTGTCCTGTAAAGGTGATTTTGAATATAGCTTACACAGCTTGTCAGTTTCTAGGTACCCCAAAAACACTCTTCATGAGAATATCAAGAAGCACTTCATATTTCTTATTTTTTTTCAGAGTATTTATGAACATTTGGGTGATTTATTGACCGTGTTAGTCACATTAGACGAGATTATTATAAACCATGTTACATTAAAAGATCATTGGACATTGTATAAAAGGTATGTACCCCCTTTTGTGATATGAGCATCTGTCAATTGGTTAACTTGCCACCAGTTTGTTAACTTGCCACCAGTTGGTTAACTTGCCACGGGCTGGTTAACTTGCCACGGGCTGGTTAACTTGCCACGGGCTGGTTAGCTTGCTGTCAGTTGGTTAACTTGCTGTCAGTGGGTTAACGTGCTGTCAGTGGGTTAACTTGCTGTCAGTTGGTTAATTTGCCACCAGTGGTTAAACTTGCTGTCAGTGGGTTAACGTGCTGTCAGTGGGTTAATTTACTGTCAGTTGGTTAACTTGCTGTCAGTTGGTTAATTTGCCACCAGTGGTTAAACTTGCTGTCAGATGGTTAATTTTCTGTCAGTTGGTTAATTTGATGTCAATTGGTTAATTTTCTGTCAGTTGGTTAACTTGCTATAAGTGGGTTAACTTGCTATTAGTGGGTTAACTTGCAGCCAGTTGGTTAACTTGCAGCCAGTTTGTTAACTTGCCATCAGTTGGTTAACTTGCTGCCAGTTGGTTGATAACTGCTGGTCAAATTCCATAATAATTTTGACATTCAGGCACTACAATATTATTTCCATTATTTCTAACAGAATGTTGAAATCAGTCCGGCATAATCCATCAAGATTTGGAATTGAAGAAGATAAACTTAGACCATTTGAGAAACTTTTGATGAGATTGGAGGGTCAGTTATTTGATGGAATGATATTACAAGTAAGTACAAATAAAACTGTTACCCGGTATGTAATTTTTTGTGAACACATAGTAAGGACTCCTACTATCACAATGTGATAATCTGTAATAGATATGCTAGGTACCTCAGTTGGCTAGTCAGTGTGCT